GCGCAATCATTGCAGGCATCATCTGACACCCTTGAGTTGTCAGACCATGCCTGTTTGGACAGCCTGGACAAGGAGCTGCTGTTGCTCCCTCATCTCCCTCCTACGAGGGACTTTATCTCTTTCAACTCCTGACGAAGTTGACCTGTCTGGGCAGCTACCGCTGATGCAATAGCTGATTCCCAGCCTATATTTGGCTGGGTTGTCGGATCTGGGCCAAATTGGCCGATCCAGGGAGTGATTTGGCCAGGGAAGTTCCCTGGGGAGTATGCCTGGGGCTGCAGCAGCAATTGCTGCCCCTGGAATGGCGCTTGTTGTGCCATCGGTGCAGTTTGTACTGCATATGGTTTTACATGTGAGCCTGGGGTTCACATGGTCTAGGCGAGTTACTCGCCTAGCCCATGTGATGTCTAGCCCATGGTGTGGCTGTCCGGGCAAGTTGCTTGCCCAGAATCTTCCCAAGCTCTTGGCTGTGGGTGATCGCCCTTCAGCTTCACTTTTTCCACCTCCGTTTTTGGGGGCATAGTGATGCCGAGAGTTCCATATCTTCTTAGAATCCCACAGGTCACACCCATTATGGAAAGTCGGCAGCAAGCGGGAACTGTATAGTTCCTAGGGTCCTTTTGTGTCGGCCTCACAGGGGGCTGAGAAGCTTACCCTTCTTCTCAGCTCATTCCCTGTGAAGGCTGAGGCCAGTCCCCTCAGCGACTTCGAGGAGTTAGCACCTGGGGAGAGTACCCCAGCTTCCACACCCGGCCTCGCCCTCCGGCCACTCCCAGCTGGGGTCCGGATCCTGACAATCATGAACCCATGCGTGGTTTAAGATTTCGCGAACTACTGCTTCACAATCGGGGTCTTCCCCGAAGTCATAGAATATGTTTACTTCCCTATTTGGGAAGATTTCTTGGTCATTCAGCTCGTGGGGTGTGAGCCAAGATATGTGGAATCTTGGGTGGACTCCACATTGTTCAAGTTGTGGTGGCAACTTGAGGACGTAGTTTGACGTCTCTGGAAATGTTTCCAGAATTTCATAAGGCCCTATATACAGGGGCTTTAGTTTGCCTGCCCTCCCTTTGGGTAGGTTCAACTTATCTGTGGATAAGTATGCAAGCTTGCCTTTTCTCAAAGGCAGGTCCAGGCGTCTTTTTTATTTGCCTGGATTGTTTGAGCAGCACGATTGTGTATTATCACGTCGTGTGCTGCCATTAGGTTTTCCTTCACCTTTTGGGCGAAATCATTCACTCCTGGGTAGTCCGAGGGTGGTGCTGTTAGGCACATCTTTGGCATGTGGCCATAGATTAATTCAAACGGGGCAAATCCTGTCGATGTGTTCGAGCTTGCATTGATTGCGAATTCTGCCATCAACAGCTTTGCTGCCCAGTCGCATTGATCTGGTCTGACCATCGCATGTAGTATCTGTACTACTTTCTGTCATGAATTTTGAATCTCGATCTGTGCGATTGAGTGTGGTAGTCTGTGAAGTCATACAACTTCACGAAGAAACATGAATGCTAGTTCTAATGCATTCATGGTTGTTTTAATGGGATCAGGTGGACGTTGTTGTGTCTGCCTGTGGACAATTCCTTGGACGGAATCATATCCCAAGTCTGTTGGGATGTGGTTGCTTCCCGGGTTTGGGTACTCCCCCCTAGAGTTTCCTCTAGGTTGTCGCTCCCCCCTAGAGCTTCCTCTAGGTTATTTGGTCTTGAGAGTATCTCAGGTTCATAGGCATGATGCCTATGATGACTCCTTACAACTGGTCTTCTAATGCCAGTATGATCTGTTTGCGTTTGTGGTCAGCCAGAGGTCTCAGGCTGGCACCGGAAGCAAACTGAATTCCCCTATCAAGGAATTGTATTAGGGATGTTTTCTCCCCTATTGTTATCCCTCGGATGTTTATCCGAGTTTTTCCCCGCCATTGATAAGTGGGGTTAAACCTGAGACCACACAGTTGCCCTTTCAATTCAACACCATGTTGAATGTCAGGTGACTTAAGCTGAGTTGCTTGGCTTTACCCGAAGTTCCTTGGTCAGGAGCATGTAACAAGGCATGACAGGAATTTCTGTCACGCACTGTGACACATCTAAATGTCATGCTCTGCGACGCAATTCAATGTCACACACTTGCGACATGAAGAAGATGGAATAGAGAACCAAAGTCTGAGAAACCAATGCTGTAGGGGCATTAGGACTTTGGAAATTAGTACAAAAGTTGTATTGCTCAAAACAGAGCAAATTTACAATTAAAATGGATTTAAAATGAGTATCGCATAGGTTGGGCCGAGTTATTCAGCTTTATCCCTGTTTGCAAGTTCAAGGAGTTTGGTTCCTTGAGCAATTGCCTTCCAGATGGTATTTATCTGGGAGTTCCAGTTCTTCTGTGCTAGGACTGGGTTGTTTCTTTCTTTGGTGTTTCTACCAAAGCATCGGTGACTTTCTCATTCACCGTGTTTATGGCCTTCCCAAGGAAAGAGCCAGATGTCAGGGCACGCTGCCGCCGCTGCCACCTCCATTTCCTTTTGTCTCATCCCCTCATTCTCTCTTCTTTCTTCTTCTCTTTTTCTATCTTTATACAGACGACCTCTCTTTCTTTCCTACCCTTGTAGCACGGATGCGTCCGACGCTGAGCACCCCATAGGGGCACCGCAACGCCGGATGTGCTGCACACTTCTACTTGTACTTCCCCTCCAACACTCGGGATCGACTGCGGAACCACCCACGGTAACCTGGCTTCGTCTGAGGGTGTCAGGGCACGGCCTAACCAGCTACCCTGACTCCCTATGCCGGAAGGGAGTTGCCGTAAGACGATCCGGAGTGATCCGAAGAACGCAGGTAATCTCGCTTAGCTCTCGCTTAGCTCCCGCTTCCTATCTTCCATCCACATGTCACCCCTTTCCCACACCTCACTTACGATTATCCGAATGAATAGCTATCTTTTCATGTCGTCATTCTATCGGTTATCTTCTATCTCGTTGTAGCCGCACTCTAGTGGGTAGCGGTACCCATGTATATAACTCCTATCTCCGCTGAGGGTGGCACCTCAGCGTTAACAATGACTAGGATTCTCGGGAACGCCCTCTTCGTCGTGAACTGACATGCAGTCCCTGACAGAGGGTGACGTGGCAACCCCATGTGACCCATTCACACATGTATATAAACTAAGCCGAAGCAGGACCGAAGAAGTAACCTTCTTCTCATTTCCCGCTTCAGGCAAGTACCCTAGTTTAGTCTGGCTTCCCACCCTAATAACAATACATTTCCCGCTTCAGCCTAAGAAGCCACACAGGGATGTAGGCCCGAGTAAGGGCTATCCACTATACGGTCTCACCGCCCCGCTGCCGTCCGGGCTGCTAGTGCCGAGCGTTACGGCACTGCCTCTGCCTTCCTCAAGCCATCCCTGACACCAGAGAAGAAAGAAAAAAAAAACAAGGCAAAAAAAGAGGGCCTGGAGCACTTCCAGACACAATGGAGTCTCCTCAGTCTGAGGAGTTAAACTATAGCATATTACTATAGGTCGATGGTCTTCAAAAACCTCTTGGTATGAGAGGAAGGCTGCCAATAGTTGGCAGCAAGATTGCACGGACTGGGTTGTCTGCACAAGTGGGAGTTAGGATCTCTACTTGATCTTATCTGCCAATTCTTGGTCCTCCTTCAGGTACAAGGAGGGCTGATTGGCCTTGTTGGCCAATCATGCATGATGCAGCCCAGTATTTCTACTGGGGAGAGGGCGGATTGTGGCCGCTAGCCAGCCAAGTATAAACTCCACCCAGAGCTCGTCTTCTTCTGGAGACTCCGGGGTGGTTTCTTCCGAAGGGTCCGGACCTCCTTCAGTGGGTCTCCCTCCGAGGTTTTTTTCTCAGGGGTGTTGTCTTCTGAGTGACTTTCCTCAGGGGAATCCCTCTTTGGTGTCTGTCAGGGCACAGCCCCTGACCCCACACACCCTCAGGTACCCTTCCCCCATTTTCTCCTATTTTTCCCTTCACTGTTCCACAATCCCGCATGCATGCAGACCGTGGGAACGTTCTGGGCGAGTAACTCGCCCAGAAACCATCACAGCCACAACTGTGGGAACTTTCTGGGCGAGCTGCTCGCCCAGAATCTTCCCACGGGGGGGGTGCCAATTATGGAAAGTCGGCAAAGAGCCGAAAACTGTATAGTTCCCGGCTCCCATTTGTAGTGGCTTCACAGGAGGTTGAGAAGGTTACCCTTTGTCACGGCCATGCATTCCGGCCCGTTAGCTGCCCATCCCAATGCCACCTGAGCCTGTTCCTGCTATGTGAGCATGAGCGCGAGCCCCGACCTCAGCCCTATCCTCCCTGAGGACTCCCTGCTCACTCCCCTGCTTGCCCCTAGGCTCCCCTATACTTGGCCGACTCCCCTGCTGCTGCACCAACCTCCCCACCCTGAGTCCGCCTCCGGCACCGTGCCCAGCGCGACTCCCCTACCCTGCCCACTTGGCCCCTACAGGGCCGCTACCATTCCCGCGCCCAACTCCGGCCCAACTCCGAGTCCAGCGCCGTTACGATACTATCGCCGCTATCGCGGCCCTACGCTCTTTCCTTTATTTATCTGTTATTGTTTGTTTTGACCCTCGGTCATTGCTGGCCGCTATGCGGCCAACCCCGCTCCTTATTCTTGTTTGCTTCCGGACCCTTCGGCCTCCAGCCCAGGTCCGCTTCCATTCATTCATTCTCCCTATATATATCCTGTATGTTACTTTATTGTACCTTAGCTCTAATATCGATGTGACCACGACCCCTAAGTCCTGACCCCAACAAGGTAACCCCAGTGAGTCCGAAATGAGGGCCAAGAGACAGCTAGGGGGGCACAGCACTCCCTTTAGAGTTGCTGAGGCCAAATGCCCTACCCCCGGGCCTTGTTTTCGGCATCATGGCCATCGCAGCCTATAGCGGCCCGCAACGGCGACCTTCAGTGCCGACCCCAGACCAGTGTCTAACACCCTTCTTCTCAACTCATTTCCTGTGAAGGCTGGGGCTAGCCCCCTCAGTGAGTTTGAAGACCTCGGACTGGGACTAGATACCCCAGCGACTCAGAGGATCCCCTTGGGCCCGTCACGGAACGAGGGCCGGGCCCTGACAGTGTCGTCACCAAAGAGTTGGTAGTTCTTTTTTTGGTCTGGCTTATCGCCAGTTTTAGTGTATTTTTTTCGTCATTGTTCTCAATGACGTCGGATCTTGGGGCCATTATTGTGGTCCCAATGCTGATGTCCTCACCCTTTCTTCTGGGCGAGTAGTGAGGTCCCTTGTTTGGGTCCTCTGGTTCAAAGTCATTGGAGGTGTCCTCCACTTTGAAATCACCAGAGATATTCTCTGGTTCTTCTTCGTCGGAGTCGTCTCCAACTTCACCTTCTGTTTTGTAGTTGACTTCCCTGGCGATCCTGTGCCTTGGGTTTCTGTCTCCTACTAACTGGTGCTCAGGGTGGCTCTTTGCCTGCTCTGGTATTCCGCAATTATTGCGTACTTGTACCGGCCTTTGGTCAGTGTTCCCTGACTGCTTCAGGGAGGATTCGCCTTTCCATTTGGGTTTAGGGTCTTGCACATCGGCTCTTGCCTCTGCGTGTTTCTCCTTTCCCACCTGGTTGGGCTTTTCGCGATTTGTGGTTGCGGTGGTTTCAGGTCTGGCATAGCATTCTGGCCTGTAGGCTGGAGCTATCCTCAGCCTGTTTTTCATCTCATCCATGCGAGATGTTGTTCTGAACATCTCCTCGAAAGAGGAGAATCCCATTTTGATTATTTCCTCCTTGCATTCAGGGAGGATGTTTTCCAGAAACCTAGCATTAAGCGATGGTTCTGGGTAGGACTGTCTGGGTCCTTTTCCTGCATTGTACTTTACATTGCAGTATTTTTCCGTCACCTTCAATGTGGTGGGCTCCTTGATATATGTCCTCATTAGAGTATCGAGAACTTCAAGAAATTTCCCCCCTTTATCTCTAAGGAGGGCTTCTTCACGGAGTTTTAGTCCGTGTGAGAGTGCAGGCTCTGCCAATCCACCAATGAGACAATCCAGATGGATTTCATCGTAGTGTGCACCTCTATATCCTTGTGATGTGAGGAATCCTAGCAGTGTGGTGTACCACTGCCAGAAAATTTCTGTATCGTTTTTGCCTGACCACTTCATGTCAGGGAGTTGAGTAGGACCATTATTTAACCAGTCCCACTTCACCCTGTCTATGTGCGGTGAAGGAGAGAATGAAGGAAGGTCAGTTGGGAGGTTCAAGCGAAACCACCACCAAGCTGTTCCCTGGTTCTTTAGTTAGGATGGGGAAGTGTACTAGTGTTATTTATTGTAAATATAGTACCAATCCGAGTGTTTTGGCTAATTCTATTTTTATGGGTTAGTTTTAAAGTTCCTGGGAATTGACTTACAGATAAACCGAGCCCTGTGGAGCTGTTTCTTTATTGGAGTTTATTAATTTGTCTAGGTGTAATTCTGTGTAGCGTTGTTTAATTTGGATTTAAACTTGAATTTAATCTTCTACTTGGTGAAGTTTCAAAGATTCTATTCAGTTAATGAATTTGGATTGTGTCTGGAGTGTCCCTTGAGTTTGTTTTATTTTTGTCTTATTTTATTGCTTGTTTTAACAGTAGCAAAATAACTGTTTTGTGTTTACACTTTGAAATCTGGAGTGTTAACCAGCTCTCCTCTTGAAATATCTACTTAATATTTCTCTCCTTTATTGCTGCCTTTTCCTACAGTGGCAATCTTACAGCAACCGTCAAAAAAATCTGCGCGTCAAATCTTGGTGGATATATCAGGCAAAACATGTGATTTGCGATTTAGGGAAAAAATCACTGTGTCCCAATGGCACCACCAAAAAAGGATATTACTCATCGTTCCATTGTTATAGCGGCTGCACATGCATGTAGTGGGCAAACACCTCAAACCCGCAGCCAAGGATCTAATCATCACGATTCCTAACTTGACGAGCACACACGATATTTCAGCAGTAACCCAGCTGTCTGCATGCACCATCCACGAGGATCTCTGTAATCCTGTTGGAATCCGCAAGTGACCAGAACCTGCCGGAATATTCTGGATTGTTGTGGGAAATCCCCAGATAATTCCAAGATATTCATGCTTGCATATGCGTGCTTGCGCAGTTACCTATTTTACGTATATTCACATTGTAATACATTTCGTGTATGTATAAATACGCACAGACGTGCGTTGACAAGATAGTTTCTAGCTTACCTCTGATTGATCGCGAGTTGAGTATTGCCTTATCAGGAATCCCCTGACCATCTTTGCTGAGACCCGTGGCCGACGACGCTCTTGTATTCATGCTATATTATTATCCATGCCTCACATGAGTACAGAAGAGGCTCTTGCGAACCTGAAGACCCCAGCACCACGAGCGCTAAATGCCAAATGTATTGACACTGAAATTGACCCTGATTTCCGACCATTTTTGGACAAGCACGAGATCCGACTGGGGTCATGCATCCAAATCTGACGCGCAGATTTTTTTGACGGTTGCTGTAACTGTATATCACTTTTTCGCACTGGAGTGACAACCAGAAATGCTTGAGAAAAATAATACTCTATTTTCTTACTTCTCTAAGGGGGGGTGAAAAGTCGCAGAAAGGGTCTCCCTTTTATACTCCTTGGGTCGCCTTCCTTTTTCACGCTCTACCTTCTATTTACAGGATTTATTTACAGTGTATTTTTCTCAAACTGAATAAAAATGAAATTTTCATGCTATAGTTCTACTGCACTTTTGCTGCGCTGAACTGCGGTTCTACTGCGGTCAGACTGCACCTAGAATTCTTATTGTCCTCCCTCACCTAAGCTATTTTAATGGTTAATTGGAACTTGGCTGCACTGCATTTGCCGCAGTTACCTATTTCAAATTCCCTATATATACCATTAAATTTGCTATGACTCAATGATTCTGAATTCAAACTTCGCATTACTATGCGTACGGCTGTGCTGAGACCTTCAGCTGATTTATTCCATTTTTATTTAGTGACATTTAGTTAAAATGAGACTGAAATGGTAAATGAGTGAATTATTCAGGTTTAAAACTGAAAGAAAAAGTTGCTAGTAGTCAAGAATTACTCAAACGAATGTGTTATAGCTCTCCACCTCATTAGAATATCGTTCCCTAAAATTCCTGCCATGGTCCGTCGTAGTTTAGTGGTTTTCGTGAATTTCGTTCATATTCCCTGATTCCCCTTTGTATTATCACATCCTAATCCTCCATATGTATTGTTCGTTGTTATAGTAGGTCGTCCTTGAAGATATCATATTTTTATGTATTTTATTTAGGACTCTGGACCTCTTGAAGCTGTTTTCCTGCGCGTTTTCAGGTTTCTAACTTCATGTCCCTATATCTCATTCATTTCTGGATGTTTTCTCGCGTTCTTTGTATCATAAATTTTCATTTATTCCCACCTTTCCAATGGTACTAAGATTGTGTCCTATTTCCTGGTATTCGTTGAGTTAGCAAAGATTCGCGTGCACATTCGGTAATCATGTGCGTCGTTCCCATAGTCGTTCGTATGCGGGAGCCGTTTTTGTTTAATTGTTCAGAATTTATGATATGCATGGGTGTTTATTTCCTTCATATGGGCTTCTGTGATTTATTTCAGATTTTTCCCTCATGATCTAAGGTTGTTTTGCACTTTCTGTGCTTTGTTTTGACCGGGCTCTTCCTTATTTGGACGGAAATTGGTCTTCGCAATCTGCTGAAGTGCGGATCTCGGTTCCGACGGCCGGTTCCCTGCGCATTGCCACCCTCACGTGTCATTACACATGATGCGGATTTCTATATTCCCGTCATGGGTATAACTTCACAACGGCTGGACCGTTTGGGCTGAAAATTTGTATATCTATAGTTCCCCATTTTTAATAATTTCTGTGTAAATTTCGTTGTATGTTTTAATTATGGATCTTATGCAAACATCGTCTTTTCCCTGAGCTCGGACTTTTGATGTCGCTATTCCTGTTATTGGATATCTCATTAACGCATGATCCTTTTATTATGAAACTTTGGGAGGATTAAGATTAGATCCCTTCCTTTCTAATGGGCTATCAAGCTTGTCTGGTCGTTACTAGTTAATCTTCGCACTTGCTTTTTAGACATTGTCCTCGTTTTGCAGGAGTTTGAGTCATATCTCCGTCGTTTATGGGTAGTTTCCCCTGTAATTACTCTCATTGGGTCCGTTTGGGGGACATCTACATTTCCTATTATAAACACGACTTTGACTTTTGCATTAGTTCCTGAGGAATCTTTGTTCTGTGGTACTTCCATCCTTGGCTACGTGTGCGGACGTGGGAAAGTAGTTTCCGTGGAGGTTCTCTGGTTATTTTTATAGTCAAATCTTGGTCGATTGTCCTGGTTCTTGGTTTAATATTTGCTATAAATTCCCCCGAGAATTCCGTCTCGTTGATGGTGAGCTTGAAGTATTTTTGCTATTTTTCTTTCTTTCGATTTATCATGTATAGTCATAATAATTTTTCCATAATGGGTTTCCATAGCGTGGCCGTTATTTCTCCTACAGCAGGGTGAAAGTTAGAAGTTCGGCCATCCGTGTGGCCTTGTGGTACCATCTTTCGAGGTGCCAGTTGTCCTCCAGCAATGTTTTGCTGGAAGTTTTCCTTGTGAAGTTTTCACGAGGGTTTGTTTGGTTCTCTCCAGCATTACTGGAGGGGTTTTGTGGAAGGTTACTTCCACTTATCCTTTGCCTGGGTGAAGTGACCAAGGAGGGCCATTTATCGCCTAAGATGGGGCCTGGTGTTGATGGTTGCCCACTCATTTGTGGGTTCTCCTTACTAGGCTCCTTCTTCTGCCATGTTGCACTCCTACAGACTTCGGTGACCTCATCCAAAGTTGGTGACTTCGCTTTTTTTGGCAAAAGTTTTGGGTTCGGCCTTGGCAGCAGTGGCTTCCCCTGAGCCTCTGTGCTCTCTGAGCATCTGCCCTTGACCTTTTCTCCTATTATTCCTCGGGCCTTTATGTTATAGAGATGGACTAGATTCTTATGGTCCGTGACTGCAAGTAGGTAGGTTGTCTCTGCCCTCCATTATATTTCTCTGTCAAACTCCATGCCAAGCTTTCCCACTGGGTTTTGGTGCTGGCTGGGGGAATTGTTAAGTTTCAAGGGACTTCCCTTGACCATTGAGACTTTGATATTAGATAGAAACCAGTCATATGACATGTAAAGGCAAATGCCGAGGATGTTGTTCATTATCAAATACATAACCCACAAACCTTGTACCGCGATTGTAACATCCTCACCATTGTGTCACCACTGTAAACTCAACCTGTAACCCTGGAACCATGTCCACCTCCCTATTCCTCCTCTCCATGACAAAACCGCAATGAGGTGGGCATTCCCACGCCCAACCTCCTGCTACCCACTCCCACCAGTCCACCGGGTGGTTGAGTGGTTACTCCCATCCAACCAGAAGTTCCCTATCAGGAACTATAACCTATCCCACCTCCTCAGGAGAAGGATACGGTCCAGGCAGCTCCAGGATGTCTGGCCACGCACCTGCGGGTCCCACTTCCCACGGTCACCCACTACCGTGCACTGGTCCACCAGCCCGCTTTCCCCAACAACTCCCGCTACCGGTACGCTCCCATGAGCGCCAAGTCACCGATAGCCACCAACTGGGTGACTCCCTTTGGGAGTCCCAGTATCCCTCACTACCGGTACGCTCCATTGAGCGCCAAGTCACCGCTAGCCAAACACCCCCAGCACACCCGCTACCGGCACGCTCCCAGGAGTGCCAAGTCCCCGTTAGCAGACAGCCAGGTGGCTCCCTCAAGGAGCCCACATCATACTCGCTACCGGTACGCTCCCAGGAGCGCCAAGTTACCGTTGGCCGACACACGTGTTGTACTTCTGTACACTCATCCTATTCCGCTCTCCCTCCGATGGCTACGCAGCCACCTCCATTAGTGAGCCAAACGGCTCAGGTTGGGTTCCCCGGAACCCATTCCTGTAACACTTTAGCCTGAGAAGGAGTTCTTCATCACTTCCTGTCCTCCATTCGGATGGGACCTGGAAAAAGTCCAGAAGTTTCTCAGACAATCGACTTTGGGGAGCTTCCTCATCCTCCTGCACCTGGTCCCTTGTCCATGCTGGGTCCGAGGCCATCTGAGGACAGTCCGGAAGTGAGCTCAACCTGTGAGTCTGTGTCGATCTGGATGACATGGCCTTTATATCCATGTTGGAGTGTGTACACTCGTTCTCAGACAGAGCGCTGAGTGTCTCACAGTGGTTGTGAGATGGTGTCGGTGGTGTGGAAGTTTTTTCCACATTTCCTCCACTCAGGACTGGCTCCCTGCACAAGCGGGGGTCATCCCATGAGGGTTTTTGATGATTCCCAGTCTTATAGACTGGGGTTTGAACCGGCTCACGCCTAGGCGGCGAGCTGGATGTCTCACTATAGTTGCAAGATGGTAACGACGATGTGGAGGTTTTTTCCACATTTTTTGCAATCACACACGGCTCCCTGTGCAAGCAGGAGTTGTTGTTCAATTGTTTTGCACAATTCCCAGTCACATAGACTGGGGAGTGAACCAGCATGCTGCGATTTTGCGGGCTGGACGTCTGACAGTTAATGTGAGACGATGTATACAATGTGGAAGTTTTTTCCACATTTTTTGGGATCACAAATGGCTCCCTGTGCTGGCAGGAGTTGTCGTTTGATCGATTTGCACAACTACCAGTCGCATAGACTGGGGAGTGAACCGGCTTGCTGCTATATCGCAAGCTGGACGTCTCACAGCTGACGCGAGACGATTCCGTAGATGTGGACGATTTTTCCACATTTTTTGGAACTCCAAACGGCTCCCTGTGCCAGCAGGAATGGTCATTTGGTTGTTTATGACAACTCCCAGTCGCATCAACTGGGGAGTGAACCAGATTGCTGCTATATTGCAATCTGGACGTCTCGCGTTTAATGCGAGACGATGCTGGACATGTGAAAGATTTTTCCACATTTTTTGGGATCAAAAACGGCTCCCTGTGCTGGCAGGAGTTGTCGTTTGATGGTTTTGTGTAACTCCCAGTCAAATAGACTTGGGAGTGAACCGGCTTGCTGCAATCTTGCAAGCTGGATGTCATGCGGGTGACTCAAGACAATGTGGACAATTTTTCCACATTGCTTGGGGCCACAAACGGCCCCCTGCACCAGCAGGAGTTACTGCTGTTTTTGTCAGTGTTTTGCACCAAGTGAGAGGTTCCCTGAGGATAGTGGGGCTCAGGGACTTCTTTTGGCATGTCTGACCCAGCCCTTAAGGCTGTTAGTGTGGCAGCCACACGCTTATGT